CACTTCTTCAAAGCACAGGAAGCTTTATAATTAATTACAAGACCTTTGGTAAAGAGGGCCATCTTTAATGTCAATTTATAGGATATTCTTGAACTCAGTGAACAAATGATGCATAAAGCCCCAATGGGTAGAACCCACTGGCTGAGCTGGATACAGCCCAGTTCGGAAATATGAAAACCCCACAGAGAAGGTAATTGGGAATAGGGCTCCCCCAGAATGCATGAGTTGTCTCTGCTTTAATGGGTTCTTTTCTTGCTCATGACTATCGGCTATCTCTTTGTGTTTACTGAAAGCAGTTCTTGGGCTGGGAAGATAGCTCAGTAGAATAAGTGCTTGCCTGGCAAGCACAAAGTCCTGAGTTCAATCCCCAGTACTGGAAAAAAAAGAAAGAAAGAAAGAAAGAAAGAAAGAAAGAAAGAAAGAAAGAAAGAAAGAAAGAAAAGCTAGCAAGCAAGCAGCTCTTCCTCTCAACTTGAAATAAATTAATAAATAATTAAGTCTATTAGAACTATAGGCAAAGTAAGAGTAAATAGGTCGGGGTAGGTGTCTGCTAAACTTAACCGGGCCTCCTACCATTCTCCACTTGTGCAGTCCTCACTCCTCACACCTGGGCTGGCCTATGGCCTGCTTTAAGCAAGACAACGCAGCAGGAATAACACGGAGGCAGGTGCAGCCTTGGCTCATGGGCCCTGGAAGCTTCTACTCTTGCACTCTTGGAAGCCTGAAGCTGCCATTTAAGAAATCTCAAAATGCAAATGCAGAAAAAGGGAAAAGAGGTCCTGTGGTGAGGAAGAGCACTCCAGAATACACAACAGAGAGAGAAACCCAGGCCTATGGCTCATGTGAGCATCATCTCGGAGGGACCACCAGCAGGACCAGCAGAAGAACTTCCCTGCTGAGCCCAACCCAACTCTACGAACTGACAAGACGGTTTATTTAAACTATGTTTTGAAGAATGACACGTGAACGGGTGAAAGATACCTTCCTTGAAATGTGAAGAACAGAATGTAAAAAGGACTGACCAGAGGCTCCCCTACCACTGTGGTCTTAAGGGCCAAGCACTGTCCACGGAGTGAATGAAAGTACCAGGGGAGCTAAGGCCCGAACCGCAGCACACAATCTAGCATCCCCGTGCACCTCTTCATGCCTCCACGCCAACCCTGAAGCCAGAAGTTGAAGGAAGCAAGACTGCAGCCAGCACACAGCCTGGCATGTAGTGGGCACATGCCACTGCTTAGGAGCCTGCCCACAGGCTCTCAAAACTGCAATGTCAATGTGACCTCTTCACTCGGAGGCAGTAGGGTGAGTAGTTAAGATCCTTCTGGAACTCCATCACCAGGGCTGAAATCCTGGCTCAGACAATTACAAAACTGGGCGAGGATCTGACAATTTATGCACTTCCCCATGCCTCAGTTTCCTCATCTAAAACAAGGCTGACAGTACCTAACCTGGAGGATTGTTTTGAGCAATCATCTAGACAGGAAGAGCTGAGATGATACCTGGCAGGTCACAAGGCTTATGCAATTGTTCACTGTCATGCTTTGCTTTGTCTCTGTTATTCTCCAGTTCTACATCTCAGGCGCAGTTACATTAGTACCTGTGTTTCAACATGCACAGTGCTTCCTTTTAAAGATTTCAAAACTCAGAAATTATTAAGATAATTAAATGCCATTTTAAGTCTCCCCTCTCTAAAGGATTTCTTGTCAAACACAGTTAGATCAAAAAGCACTGGTAAAACCACAAAAAAAGTTAGCAAGCCACTTTAAGAACAAGGCTGAGAAAAATGATAAATGGGGTATGGACTAAGGATGAGAGACCAACCACGCAGTGAGACCACGGTGCTAGGGGAGAGCAAGGGCGTGGCGCACAGCAAGGCACTGCCTCCTTATGGCTCGGGTCCTCAGCTGCACGAGGCAGACACCTCTACCCCATCTGCTCCCACCCCCCAAGGAAGGGTCTATTAAAAGCAGACAAATGAATGAGCCCTGTAACATCAGGTTCCAGGTGAAGGTGAGGCAGTATCTTAATCTATTTATGGCATTTCATCTCTTATAGCAATAACCTTTTACATTTCTAAATGTTTTCAAATAAGTCTCCATCTCTACTCCTGCCAGCAAGCATGGCCACAGCAAGGGCCTTTTATGGGAGCTAACGAGAAGCTGATTTTCTTTAAGAAACTAAAGAGTAGACGCTCTTTTGACAGTTCTCAAAAATAGCTCAGTCCATTCAGCATCACCATCTTTGAAGCCAGGAAAAAGAGAACTCCCTGTTGCTCTGGCCCTCAGTGAAGGCGATCTCTATGGCAGCAAAGGTTTTGCATGAAGGGAGGAGGAAGGGCCTGTGCATCTGACAGGGTCTGATAAAGACCTCCTGTTGTGAGGTCCAGAAATCTCTTTGTCCATCCCCGGTCCCCCTTACCTCCTGTCCCTACACTTCACAAAGGGCTTAGAAGTTGCATTTCTGGCCCAGTGGCTCTTCCAGTCACTGCTGGGTTTGGACCAGATTTAGCCCAGGGGCCAGCAGGTGAGTGGCCCACAACAGCGCTGCCACAGCTGCCCATACAGGGCACACACACTGCTGTCACAAGCACCTGTCCTGGCCTGAGGGCTAAGGAAAGATATCTCTCCATCCCCAACCACATCTATCTCAGAATCCAGGTGTCTCCATGAGGGCATAAAGGGCTCTATAGAGGGCAAGGCAAGGAAAGGAGCTGAAAGGAAGATACTGTATGGGGACCACTCAAAGTGCTCCCTCGAAGGCAGATGGACATTTGTGGGTCTCCCTGGGGAGCTGGGGGACTGTCTTCCATTTAGAGAATGAGGGCACAGAATTGTCTGTGGTGAGACAATGAGAGCTGCCCAAGAGCTCTGCACAACCCTGTGAGCTCTTCACGAGTCTGGCTTCCCCCCCGCAGCCTGACGCCAGATCACCCCAGCTCTGTGGTTCCAAACAAGGCTTCACACTTCCTTGGAGCTCCTGCCTTTGCCCGGATCTACTGTGCAGATCATGTCAACCAGTCTTAGAGGGAAGAGCAATGCGGGCGTCCACAGTAGAGAAGTCGTCCTATCAGATGGGCTGACCCAAACTGAGGAAGACCTCACCCTTGCCTTCCGGGTGGGATTCTCCAGGTAGGGATGAGGGCCAGCACGAAAAGTCACCACAGATCTCCCTTCGGGCCAGCACTCTGGCTTGTCACACTTAGCTCCAACTCCTATGCCTTTCCACTGTGACCACAGCCAGCTTCCTCTCCACTGCTTTAACTTCAGCAAATCTGTCCTGAAAGACTACTTCTGGCTGTGATTTCCTGCTGCATGGTCTTAAATTCCCTGTCCTGCTATGCCCAGTCATCTGTCTCTAGGCCTGTGCTGGCAACTGTGTACTCAGTAACAGTGTTCTAGTTTTTCTCCCCAGTGACTGTGAGCCCCAGGAGTGTGCAGGCTTTGACAATAGCCACCCCCGTGTTGCTGAAGCCCCATGCCTGGGTTCTGCACATAGGGAAGGTTGAACCCAAGTCTGCCGGTCACTCTCCAGTGTTTTCTCCAGGGCAAAGAAAGCTCTCTGGGATGAACAAACTTACTTTCCTTCGGAGCTCTAGACTTCACTGCAAAGACCAAAGTGAGTTAGGCACCAATCCCCTTTGAGGGTCATCAGGGTGGTGGCGAGCTTGAGCACTACATCATCCAGTCCTTGGTGGCTTGAGCTGAGCCAGAACGAAGGACGATGCATGCCAACATGATGGTTTGGCAATGTGACCCGACTCGAAGCTGGGGCTGGGCTGCTTCCCTGGGCCCCAGCCAAAATCACAACGAAGCCAATAGTGCTGGTGCCCACTAAGGTGCCCTTGCTGATCCTGGCTGCTTGACCTCCCCATGATGGCAGTTCATACACATCGGCACACACCGTCCAGGAGGCAGAAGAGCCCAGGGAAAGGGTGATGCTGTCAAGTCAGACCCCCTGAGTTATGAGCCCAGGAAAACCTCTGAAGCCACACCAGAGAAAATCTGAGTGCAAACACCAAGTTCCAGGCAAGACATGGAGGATGCCGCGAGGAGTAAGACTCAGCCGCGTCCTTGTGGACTTCAGGGCTTGCCGAAGAGTACAGGAGGAAAAGCAAGCTGCTCACCACAAAGGGAGAAATGCCAGGATGGGCATAAGTTAGCCCTAAGCTCACAACATCAAGAGGAGACACAGTATTTGTGCAAATCATTGAAATTTCCTAAACCTCAGTTTCTTTATCTGGAATAGTGGAAGGAATGAATGGAATAGCGGAATGGAATGAAATAAGGACTGTATCACAGGGTTCTGTGGCAACCAGATGTGTAGCTACATAAAGCACTGAGCTTTTCTTTTTTTTGGTACCAGGAATCAAACTCAGGACCTTCTGTTTGCCAGGCAGGCACTTGTGCTACTGAGCTATATCCCTGGCAAAGGGCTTACTTTTACTTTCTTATAAAATAAATGCTTTTCATTTTTTTTAACAAGATAATTAGATCTTATGCACTAATTTAAACCATGACATCTTAGTTGATATTGACGTTTCTGTCATGTACATGTTTTCAACCCTGACACATGTGGAATCTTTAACCCACACTTAATTCTTTACGGGAGATCAGGAAGATGTCCATACAATTTACTGCTCAAAGGACAGCACGGTAAATTAAAGGTACCATTTAGGGCAAGATGAAATTAACAGTCACTGCGTCATTTGTCCGCAAGTCGATTTCAGGGTCAAGATAGGCAGCGTCACCATATGGGTCCCCCCTGCATCACACTGCAGTGTCCCACTAGCTTGAGGACAGGCTAAACCAAAACCAGCACCCGGCCACGAGGCAGCACACACAGACGCTGCACCATGCGTTCCCAATTCACAGAGCTTAGCCCAAAACCACAAAAGAGGCTCATGTTCTGCCGCCTGCCTCTGTCATCACTCTGCCATGCTGAAGACCAGCTATCTGCTAGATACCAGTCGCCCTGTCTGCCTCTAGAAAGCCTCCCCTTACCTCAGGTGTCCCAAGCTGTAGAAGCGGGACTCCCCGTCGGTGGAGCGCACCACCTGCAGCGTGAACATGGGCTGCAGCTGCCTGAGTTCCAGCAGGACGATGGCCAGGTAGTGGATGAAGAGGAGGGCGTCCACGAGGGAGACCGCATATTGCACGATGCCCTGGTAATTTCGGTCCCGAGAGTCCAAAATGCGGACTCCATAGAACAGCCAATAGGAAACCACGAAAAGAAAGATGAGGACCAATAACACGGCGCGGAACACAAACACCCGTGGCATGTCTGCTCTCTGCTTCCGGAAGAAAAGCGCCCAGGTCCCAATGAGCAGAATGAGTAGTTTGAATGATACAGAAATAAAAAGTCCCTCGCAAATGGTGCCACAAGGCTCCAGCTCATCCCTCCACAGGATCGGGGGCAACAGGATGAAGGCAACGGGGGTGAGAAAAACTAGAAGTCCAAGGAGTGCGGTGACGGTGAGGCCCAGGTAGCGCTTGCAGTCCAGCCCCACGCTGTCCTCCATGTCCTTGCTGATCCTGACGATGTCCTCCTGTGATATGCTGTGCTCGGAGGTGCCCGTGATGGCCGTGGTGGTCTCTCCCCAGTTGTCATCCTGACAAGAGAGGGGACGATGAGCCATAAGAAACTGGTCACTTGTGAAAGACACAACGCATATGAGGACCCGCCGATCCCATTTACCCAGCTCTACTTACTGTTTTTTTGTAAGAATGGGAGCTGAGGGGCTGGTGAGATGGCTCAGTGGTCTAAAGCACCTACTTAGAATAAGCTTAGCAAAGCACAGGGACCGCGGTTCAATCCCC